TGACTCTTGAGGGTACATATAGAGATTACAAGAGATAAGGAAAATATCAAATCAAATATTTAGTTACTAAAGATAACTACAGAAAATATTCTTCCTAAATAATCCGTTACAGCACAAATCGGCAGAAAAATTGGTCATGCGGCTAGGCAGCGTCTAGGCGAGCCTAGGCGCTCCTAGGCAGACTTAGCGGGTTCGACAGCTAGGCGGTTAGGTGGTGCCTAGGCGGGCATAGGCGGGCTCGGCGATAAGTTTTCTGTTTTTATTTTTATTTTTTTTTTAAAATACTAATTACATTATTTTGTTCTCATGTTTTCTTTAAAATATATTAAATTTGTTATTTCGACTTAGGTGTGTCGATCTATTATAAGTCGAGATAATTTTATTTTGTAGGTAGTAAGATATTTAATATTGATTTCTAGGCCCCGACTAGGCGCTCTAGGCGCTAGGCACTGGTCGAGCGCCTAGCGGACGCCCTAATGACTTTTTAACATTCACTACTATACATGATTCCCGCCAAATCTGCTCAATTATTACTATACGCAACTGCCATATTTCCTTTCTCAAAATTGATCCTCCTTTTTGTGTTTATTTTAATAATTAGCTTCATACTTTTAGAAATATGATCTCAATTTTGTATTTTTTACGGAATTTTTAATTTAAACCATAGGGTAAGTAAATTTCTCTAAAATTAACTCTAGAAGCCCAAAATTGATGATAAAAATGTGTACAGTTACATATTATATTATACATATAAATTAAATAAATAATCAATTCGACCACTGGTTCAACTAATAGACCATTAAACAAATAACTTCACCGATTCAATGACATGTTCGGTTTGTTATTATACTTACCCATACGATGGCATGATTTTCAGTCATTAATAATTGTCTGTTCCTTGGCAAAGAAAATTATTGCTAATTTTTTATTTTTAAATGACCCAAAATCTAATCATGTCTCGAAAGATTAGCATTTGCATTAAAAAAATAATAGTATGGACAATGAGATGAGAAACGCCGAAACATTGGTCTCCATTTTCTTGCTTTATCTATAAAGAAATCAAAGGACTTTATCCGTTGCTCCTTCACAAAATTGATGTGGAAGCTACTTTTAATTAATTAACGTGTGATAAATTACTCGTGGATAGTAGCTTTTTACCGAACAAATTAACATTTGAATTGGTCTATAGGAGTTGAATATCAAATCCCGACACATTGTTTGTACATCAAATAATATGCGAGGAGGCTGGCCCACGATTTTTTTTTTTTTCGAACGGCATAATTCATTCATAAAACACACAATTACAATCGGCTCACAAGTCGAAATAGGAGAACTATTAAAGGCAGCCTAAATGCCGCAATGCACACTACAAAACCAACAAGAAAATAAAAGCTCTCCACAGGAAAATACAAAAACTTCCCAAAGGAGAATAACACAACTCCCCACAAGAAAATAACACAAACTCCCCAGAACAGAAAACAAGCTCCTCCAAAAAAAGGAGATATCAAAATACAATTCACAAAACAACACACCAACAAACACCACAATAACATAAAGCACACTAAACATCAAACTACACAAAACATCAAGCAACACAAAATACTAGCCTAAAGCCCTTCTCACGGCTGGACCACGCACCAAGCAGGCCATAACAGCGACACCACCGGCCGACCACCAAATTGGATCAAACCAAGGTCTAGATTGCACACCTGGAAACTATAACTCACGCCTAACCGGATCTGAAACCCGAACCCCAATCTTGCACCCGACAATCGACCCCAACCCCTCGACCAGGGGACAACGGCAGATCGCCAAACACTCCACCGCCGCTCCAAGCCCGACCCACACCACGGCTCAAGCTCGGCACGCCGACCGTCCTCTCCTCCCAAGCACCATAGGAGAAGAAGACCAAAGGGAAAAGCCACCACTACCTTGTCGATACCA